GGGGGAAGCGAGCCAATCGCCTGCTCGGACAGAACCGCGCCTTCCCGCCCTCACGGGGATAAGCCAATCAGAAGTGAGAGCCGCGCCGGCAGCTCGAGCAGCCAGCCAATAGGCTTAGAGAAGAGGCAAGAACACGCACCGCGATTGGCGGGCACCCCGGTAGCCGGGTGTTGTTGCTAGGCTGGGTAAAGATGGCGGCTCTAGACAGGGTCAAGGTGCTGGTGTTGGGTGACTCCGGTGAGTCTGTGTCCCCAGGCCGTCTGTCCCGGGATCGCTCCTTGGGGGTCTGCTCCTCGCCTCCCTCCCCGTTACCCGCTGAAGGGCCGGGACCGCCCGCGTTCACTCAGTGCTGCTCCCGGCCTCACCACCTGTAACCCTGGCACCTCCTCACAGGAGTTGTTCTCTCTCTGTGCGCTTTGCAGGTGTCGGAAAATCGTCGCTCGTTCATCTCTTGTGCCACAACCAGGTGCTGGGAAACCCGTCCTGGACAGTGGGCTGCTCCGTGGATGTGCGAGTAGGTGACGTGCACGGCCTCTTGGTGGCCCTGAGCCTGACGTGTAAGGGAAGGGCCTTGACTTTTAATTTTAATTACTTAATGCCCTAGAAAGAGGTGTACTTTGATCATGCGTTTTGCTGAGGGCTTAGTCTTATGATGCAAGTAGCGTCAAATGCGAGCCAAGCACTTGTGTAAGCAAGTTTTGACTTTGCAAGATTGTCACAATCAGACAAGATATTTGTCACTCGTAGCCACTTTCGTGGCTGCAGTGGCCACTGGCATGTTACAAGTCACAAGGTGGCCAGTTCCTTGAGAAACAGGCAAGGAACAGCCAGGTTGTCAGTCAAACACAGTGGGGAAAAACAGTTTGCTTGTTTAGGTTGTGGGAGCACAGGAAAGCTCTGGGTGATATTCATGTGTGAGAAAAACAAGTTAAAATTTAGGGCCTGACATTTTTTCAGTGCTCTTAGACCTGGGTGAAGAAACTAAAAGGAGAAATTTATTGTTGAGACCTGGACACCAGGAATGCAGAATTTATAAACCACAAAGGCAAGTTACAAAAAGCAGAGCTGAAGAAGAAACTAACAAAGACAATAAGACTCTCCCAATCTGGGGAAAAAAATAACAAAAAGGGTGAAAATGTGGGCTAGTTAGCATGAGAAGTGAGAAATCAATAACTAATAGAAGATAGAATACTAATTAATGGAGAGAACTGCATAACTTGTAAACCAGTAAACACTAATTCCTTTATTTACCAAAATGTATAAGTAGTTGTAAGTTTTGGTGACTGATGTACACATTTGGTGAAGTGCTACTCATGTACCTCAGTGCTGAATAAATTAGTGTTGATTTTCTAACCTAACTGGGTTAGAGAGTTTATTTCCTGGTTTTTGGTGACAATTGTGACCATGGGGTTGCTTCTCCTCCTGACTGCTTGCTGCAGGACTTGCTGTGGGAAGAATGAGGATGTTCCTCCAGCAGTTCTTTGGCCCAGCCTACAGTCCTCATGGGACATTGATAAATGCTTTTTTCCTTCATCACTCTTTGCTGCATTCTCCTTGAAATGTATTGCCCTAGGTTAGGAATGTATTTCCAAAATCTGAGGAGAGGAGCATGGCAGTCCTGTTTGATTGTGGAGCAAAAGTACTCAGCAGATCTGAGGGCAGAAGTTGTTGATTAATTCAGTTGAGATGTCAGAATTTGGGTAGGAAAAAGATGTGGTCAGCTGGAATCCAGGTCTGTCACCTGTGTTAATATTCTTGCAGTGCTGCCATGTGGGTTTTAACAACTGTAGGAGGTCAAGACCCTAATTATTCCATTTTCTTTAGCAAAATGCTGTGTCCAAGCACATCATGAGATGTTTGGTTTGTTAGTACTGAGAAGCAAAGGATGCTCCCTGTGTACTCACCAGGCTTCATCTCACGTGAGATGGTGGTCTTCATCTGATGTCCAGTGGCTGCTGCTTGACTCGTTCCATCTCTCTTCACTTGAGAGGTTTGAAGCAGTGTCAGCATGAGAATTTTCAAATTTCTATCCAAGTGCAACAATTCTTCCAGCTGAAAGTGTGTCATGTGGATGAGCTTCTGTGACATGTGCTGTGGTTATGTATGATGTGAATTTTTCATCAGATCCATGACTACAAAGAAGGAACTCCAGAAGAGAAGACCTATTACATTGAGCTGTGGGATGTTGGAGGTTCCGTGGGCAGTGCCACCAGTGTGAAAAGCACACGAGCAGTGTTCTATAATTTGCTGAATGGTGAGTTTGCTTGGTGTAAATATGCTTTTACTTCTGTTTCTGTTAGAAGCTGTCTCTTGGTTCTGGGGCAGAGTTCCAGGCAGCCTGGCTGAGGGCTACATTGTTCTCCTTCCTGATTTCTACAGGAAAAAACCTGGTGCCATTCATAGGCAGAAATTTATGGATTCAGTTGTGAATGGCATGTATTTGAAGTAAACATCTGCAGATGAGCTCTACCAGCTTTTCCCTTCAGTCTTGTGCAGCTGACACAGCAGGGAGGCTTTGAGGATGCAGTGGTTGCCTTCACCTTTCCAGGTCTGATATACTGCAGAAATATGATTTATATTTTTTTTAAGATTTTTTTTTATTATTATTTATATTTTCTTGTCTGTTCAGTTGTAAAGCTTACAGCAGAGAAATGATTACTTAAATTTTTATGAACTTTGATAGTTACTCTGTTCCTACCCTGGCAAATTTGAGCTGTCTCACATGAAATTGCCATATGCTGATAACCATCTTGCCTCTGCTTATTTAGCTTACCAACTTGTTTTTAAAAGTTGAATCTTGCAACTTGCTGCATATGTAGAAAGTAGTATTTTGTGCCTTCTGTTGAGATATTGTCTTAAAGGCCTGGTAATTCATCTGTGTCTTTAACAAGAGCAAATAAGGGATTACAAACATAACAGTGCAGTATTTCAATTGTTACTTTTCATCATCTCAGGATAGTTCACTAAAAATAGATGTGTATCAGATGCCTCTTCCTTATACTGTTAACCATATTTCTGTATATAAGACTTGAATTGAGTTGTGCCCTCAAAGCAAGCCTTTTTGGTATATGAAAAAAAATTGATTTCTTTTTGATACCAAATCTACACTGTGCCAGGAAGTGTGGGTCAGACTTGGAAATACCTTAGAACAGCCCATTAGGAAATGAAATCTTGGTCTTGTGCATCTGAATTATAATTGATGACATTAAAATAGAGTTATTTGTCTCCACTGCCCAAAAGATACTAATTAGACAGCTCGCATATGAAGAGTGTTGACTTTGGTAGTTAACCTTGGGTCTTGTTTCTTTCATTAGATTAATTTCTCCATTAGAGCTTGTCTCACAAATTGCCTCTGCTTGACCTAATTTAAGAAGAGAAGATGAATGCATTCCTTTTGCCTGACTGCTTGTGCTTTCTGGGCTTTCAGTGCTCTGAAAACGAGTTAGTGTTTGGTTGTGGCAGCAACTGTGCAGGCTGCCAGGTTGTTGACAAGGCTGGGTACAGTTTGGTTTTGGATTATCTGCAGATCTTCTTGCTGACTCTCCACCTGGTGTGGGGACTTACAGCTGAGGACAGTGACTGGGCAGTAAGGCTTTGGCTTGCACACCTTGTTGTGGGAGGAGCATTTCCTTGAGTAGTCATTGGTCGTTGCCTGCTCTGTTTAGATGTTGACAGTCTTTCTGCTGGTGCAATTAACTGTGCAGTTTTTAGGTGAAGCAGGTAAGGAAACTGACCAATCAAAAACATAAATGAGGGAGCGTGTGTGGAGGTGGAGAGTGTTTCTCACAGGTTGTGCAGCAGTGCCTCTGGATCTGTTGCTGTAGGCCAAGTTACGATGTAGCAGGTATTTTCTCTCTAAACTGGGGGTGGACACCCAGCAGAGTTGCCTTTTTATACTGTCAGATAAATGCTTTGAAATAGGGATATAGCTGTGATATGCTGGGAGCTCTCATGGGAGAGTCTGTGCATGGTCATGTGGGGTATTGTGGAAATGTGGTTTGTTCATAGTGTGTACGGTGGGTGGCACCTCTGGGACTTAAGGTGAAAGACGAAATTAGTTTTTTCTACCTATAGGCTGTGAAGTGTTTTGAGAATGAATCCTGGTGCAGATAAGGGGTATCATTCCATTTTGTTCTTGAACTGGTGGTAGTTTGAAGTCTGGAGGAAGTGGGAACATTCCACATTTTGCAGAAGGTGTGAATAAATAGAAGAAATTTGCTAGCAGGAGTTGGTAATTGAGTTAAGAACTGTGGTTATCAGAAGTGGGTGTCTGTTAATAGCACAGCTAGGAAGCTTGACTCTCTCTCAGAATTTTATTTTGAAGGCTCATGGTAATGAAAAATGCTAGAAACCTAATCTTAAGTACAATAAATCTTATTAATTCATGCTTCTACCAGCCATTTAGTGGTCTATGAAATTTTATCAGTGTCTATTTCCCCTTTGGATACCTCCCCAAATGTGAAGCATTAATTCTTGAAAGCAGTAGTTCTCTCTGAGCTCTTTTAAAACAAAGAAAAAGCCTTTAGACTTTATAGATGGTTCGACAGAAAATAATTAGGTTTACCAGAGAAAGGATAAATTTTCTGCTGCAGTAATATAGAAGTTCAGTATCATGAGAAGTAGACAGAATCAGTGAATGCCTGTGAGCCTTTTGCAGATTAAACTCTGAGGTGGTTGTTTGTTTCCTGCTTTCATGTGAGTTTTTCTTAGCTCTTAGGCAATTCTTGATAAGCAGCTTTAAAAATACTGTTGCATCCTGATATTTTCAACCTTACTTACTCACTGTAACTGAACTGGTTCTACATCCCTTACTTCATTCTCAGATACCTGGGAACCTGCAGGTGTCATTTTGGTAAGATAACGAAGAGAATATGTATCTTTAAATGACACCTTGCTGTCTTGTCTTTCACTCTAGGGATAATTTTAGTGCATGACTTGACCAACAAGAAATCATCCCAGAATTTGTATCGCTGGTCTTTGGAAGCACTCAACAGAGATGTTGCTCCAACAGGAGTTCTTGTGACAAATGGGTGAGTCAAAAACATATGTGCAGAGCTCCGACATGGTAATTCCAAGCAGTTGTAGAAATCTTTGTTCATCTCTAAGGCTACTTGGTCTCCACAGGAAAGTAGATGTGGTTAGATTTGGAAAAAAGAAAGAAATGGGGAATATCAAATAAAGTTGATTGTTCTTTTTCTTTTATACTGCCAGTCAGGTTATTCTGACAGCAGATTCCCAAACTGGGTGGCAGAGACCTTGCTTTAAGGGAAAAGATGTTTACTGCATCCTTTATTTGTCTGAGGCCTCTGTGAAAGTTGGTCCAGTCTCTCTTATCTCAAGACTTCACTGCCTGAACGGAGAGATGCCATTGTACAGGAAATGTCTTGGGATGATGTGTCTGGGCAAAGAGGCAGTCTCTCCATGCACCAAGACTGAGGAAGTTTACTTCATACATTTTTGGTTTGGGTGATGGGGGAATTATTTTAGGAGTGTGGCTAGCTACAAGAGCTTAAAAAACTCTGCTTAAACATCATGTTTGTAATTAGGTCTCCAACACCTTGTCAAGGATTTCCTCCTGTACCTCTGTGCTCCTGTCATCCATCTAGTCAAGGAGGTTTTAAAATCATTGCTAAACCTCACACATGAGCAGGAATGCAATAACGAGGAGTAGTTCTTATGGGAAGAATATAAATTGTTCCTCTCCCTGTTCTGGTACACAGGTGTTTCTGTAGAAACATAAGAGATGGGAAAGAGGATTTGCATGGTATAAACTACAAAGTTTTCCAGTGTCTCCACAGGCAGGTTCTTCACAATCGTTCTAATTTTCAAAAGTTTAACTTCTGTCAAGGACAGATGTTCAGCCACTAGTAATTCCTTGCTCAAGTTGTTGCTGTTGGTTGTAAAATTACTTGCTAGAAAGTTTGGTTTAGGTAAAAGTGACGCACAAGTGATTATCCTAGCTAAGGAGAATGACTGAAGCTTGGATTCCTCTGTAGTGACTTAGATGCAGAAGCCCTTCCTTAATTTAAAGGTATTGCACATTTTAACTTAGATAAAGGGGCCATTAATAAATAAATTACTGGTTTTTGAGGGTTACAGGGGAGGTGATCTGTGGACTGGTGCCCACTTACATGGCCATTGCCTCACTCAGGATTGTATTTGTTTCCCTCATCAGTGACTATGACCGTGAACAGTTTAGTGATAACCAGATCCCACTGCTGGTAATAGGAACAAAACTGGATCAGATCCCAGAAACTAAGAGGAATGAAGTTTTGACCAGAACAGCATTCTTGGCTGAGGATTTCAATGCTGAAGAGATAAATTTGGTTAGTATCCTTGTCATCACTGTTGTTTGTCTTTCATATGGTAGTGGGTCCAATTTTTAGTAAGTAAAGATGTTGTAATAAAAATTTGGCTTTTGGAGATTTTTCTGATAGTGCCAGTCATTCACATTTTGGCTGGTTGTGCCCCTTGCTCGATGAAACAGTATCTTTGTTTCACTACAGGGAGATGTAATGGGTATTAGAAAAGGTCACTTAAGCTTAGAATTATTGGTTGGGAGTTAAATTTTCTTTTTCTTGTTCATAGCTCTGACATAGACTGTCTTTGAATGAAACATGAAGATGACTTCATATAGATCTATCAGTGTAAAAATATACATGTGCTGTGTGAATGCTTGTATACACACACCCAGTCTCAGGTGTAGCCTGTACAAATCACTGCCTGACTGTATAACTGGTGGTAGAAGGAAGATGTGGAGCATATGGGGGGTTGCTTGGAATTCTGCAGCTGATTCACAGAAGAGTTAGTCTTTTCTCTGAAGTGACTGTGGAGCAGAAATCAGCAGATCCATTGTTTTCCCTTGCTGATGGTGTGTGTCAGGGGAAAGGGTATGTTCATTTCCTTGTGTTTGGCTTCCTTGCACTGATTTCCTTGTGCTTGGTTTATTGTTGTATTTTGGGTGTTCTAGGACTGCACCAATCCTCGTTACCTGGCTGCAGGTTCATCCAATGCTGTCAAACTAAGCAGGTTTTTTGATAAGGTAAGTCAATGAAATGATGTTTTATCATCCTGTGCATCAGTGCTGTCTGGGATTTGAGCATGAAAAACAGTTTAAGCTGCTCCTTTCACATGCCACTCTCTGAGTTGGTTCAAGTCAGTGTGAGGAGGCCAGAGATTGATCTGCTTTTGGAACCCTATAGGAGGTAGCTGATCTGCTTGAAGATATAGATCCTGATCTGTGTAGAGCAGTGAAAAAGAGCTCACAAATGTGCAAAGACACTTTGCTTATTCTTTTGAAGTTGTCTGGCAGGCCAGAGGGGTTGCAGTGTTCTGAGGTAGTAGTATGGGGACATACAAGACTGGTTAGCTCTTCTGATCCTAGTTAAAGCAGCCATTAGGAATTAAGAAATTACTTAAGAATATTACTTTCCCTTACTGATAAGGAGACCATTAAGGTCCACTGTGCAAATGAGAGAAGGAATTCTGTTTTAAACCTGCCCTGGGCAAAGACAGCATAGTGGGGCTACTGTGCAGTAGTAGGAACCACTATCCCTGCAGAGAGGGAATGCCAGTAACTGACTCTGAAGCAGGAGACACACAAACCATCACCTCCTTTTCCCAGGAGGGCTAACTAAATTAACTGTGTTGAAGTTGAGGATAATTGGACAGCTTGTCTTAAGAATGGCTGCAGGTGGCAACTACTGTATGTGCTAGAGCATTGCACTAATAAAGCAGAGATGTGGGGTCAGACCTTGTCCCAGTTAGCCATGAGTTTCAGTGCTCATGTGTGAAGTGTTGGTTTCCAATCTGAGGTTATGCATATGCTGTGCAAGCTAAGATCATTCTCTGTTGTTCCCAGGTCATAGAGAAGAGATACTTCTTAAGAGATGGCAATCAGGTTTGTCACTTTCCCTCCTCTTTTGTTTCATTTCTCCCTGTGTAATGTGAACTGCTGACACAGTCCTCTTTAAAACATGAGCTTCGTGCAACCTAAATGACAATCTGTGCCGGTAATTGAATTCTTATATCTGTGGAAGCACAGCTGGTAAGGCTAGAGAGAAGAATAGCTGACTTGTGTCAACTTAAGTATTTGTCTGTAAGGTGATTGGCAGTGAAATACTTAAGTATGCTAACATGGTGAAAGTTGGAAGAATGAGGTAAAATGGGAAAATATTATTTCTTTCAGCTCTGTCAGCTTCAGGCTGCTTGATTGCAGATTTAGGCCATAGATGCTATCCTGAAGGTCAATGAAAAGGCCTTTTTTTTTTTTTTTTTGCACAGCTGGAACTAGATTTTATGTTTTATAGAGGTAGTTTCCAGAGACTCAGTGGAGCCACAAGGAAAATGGCAGTATGGTATCAGCTTGTAATTCATTCCTAAAGGACTGAATTAACTGTTTTCAGCCAGTTGGGGAAGTACTAGCAAAATTACTTCTGGTTTGGGCAGGACACTTCAGCTTTTGTGCCCCTCAGCTCCCCATGTGCAGTCTACCATGCAGGGAGTAGTGAAGTTGCATTTATCGTATGTAAAGGTGTTGGAAATTACCATGAAAAGCTTTGCTGAAGTACAGTCACACCTGTACATTGTTAGAGGTAGCTGTGCTGAAAGCCCCTTGGGGAGAGCGGGGGAAAGTAGTCACAGATTACAAAATGCTTCCTTTCTTTGAGCGCTTTTGTAGTGCCTTTTAAAAATAAATTCACTTTTGCCTCTTTTGGTTCTGCATGATGTCGTCCCCTCTCCCCCCAACATTCTACTGAAAGGAGGTTTCCCTTTCATGGGAATAATACCTTAATGCAGAAACCTGCTTGTGTGCTGGTTGTCTTTGATGGATGATGTAAGATTTTTATTATTTGATCCTATTTAGTGGCTAGCCAGGGATTAACTATACATTCCTTTTGGCTGTGTGCCAAAGATTGCTGCCTGCTGATGACTGTCTACTGCCCTGACAGGAGCTCACAAGCTTAAAACAAATCATAAATAGCAAATAGTCATGTTTAAAGAGGCAAAATCCAAATTGGAAATAGAGACTTCAGTACAACCTCTTAATGTTATCCATTGAAGTTACCAACTTAATGTTACTCTTACCAGTTTGTTTGTGGGTTTTCTACGATAGGTCACTATGATCTTTTGTGTTCTGAGGTATTTATGTTATAAACTTCTTCAGGATTAAAAGAATAATAAGTTTCAAATTGCTCATATCTACAATTTCAATCAGATTTGTGATAAATAAATAATTGTTACTCTTAATTAGTGACTTTGATTTAAAAAATGCTAAAGCAGATAACTTTTTACCTATGGTGTTCAGGTACTTTTTACTTATAATGATTGCATTTTTCCTCTTTAAATTCCCAAAGCAGTTTTCATGAGGTGAACCTTTGTACAAAATCTGCCTGATTTTATCCTTAGAGATGATTACTTTTCAGAGATGAATAGACCAGTACCTTAGTGAATACATTGCATATCTGTTTGAATTTTGGGCCTGAAAACCCCAAGTAAATTTAATCTGTGCAGTTTTTAGTGGTCTTTTATTTTGGGAAACCTTTTTAGCTCTCTGCTTACCAGTGAAGTGTGTAATCTCTGCAATCTGCTCTGAATTGTAGATTATGTTTTTGTCCCATACCATCCATACCCATGTCCATGTTCTGCCATGATTTGTAGGGCTTTGTTGATTCCCTTCATTTTAATAGACTGTATTTCCTATGAAAGTGTGGATTTTTTTGGGGAGGGAGTCTGCTGGGTCTGCTGTTAATGCTTATGTGTAGTGAGTAAGGTAAAAGTTACTCTGGCCTGTAATCAAATAGTTTTATGGTGCCAGTAGGGTAGATATGCAGTATTAGAAAGCAGCATATCACTTTCTTTAGGTGATTCACAGATGCACTGGATTGAAAATCTGTCTGAAATACTGTTAAAGCCAGAGAAGCTTCTGATGGTTTCAAGTCATTTTCTTTGTAAACATCCATTGTCACTGTGTAAGCAGTGTCTGCAGATGGGCTGTAAAAGCAGGATTGCTAATCCTTTGTATTATTGCAGCCGTTTCTATCCCAATGGTTTTCTTTAAGCTTTCAGCCATTGATAAAACTGCATTTTCAGCTGCCCGTGAAGTGCTGCTGCCCGGGCTTGAAGGCATAAAGCCTCAACAGCTCTTTGATAGGGATTGGTTTCTATTGTTTTATAGTTTTAAAAATGAGCTGAAGAAAAATTCTAGTATGCACTTGAATGTGGGGAGAAATACAGGCTTTGAAATCTTTCATTAACTGGGTTAGGATTGATGCTTTCAATTTCCCTTGCCAAAAAGTTTTAAGGAGCCCCACAGAAGAGATGAGCTGTAGTGAAGTTGTGCAGTGTTTAAATAGTGGTGCTCCTCTAGCAGTCAGCTGAAGCACTGTGGCCCTGATTCTGGAGATGGTGTGGAAGATGTTGCAGTTGGCGTGGTAACAGTGTGGGCTAGAGGGAGCTCCTGCTGATTCTGACATGACAACTTGTCTTCCCTGCCTCTAGATTCCTGGCTTCTCTGAAAGGAAGAGGTTTGGAGGAGGAACACTGAAGAGCCTTCATTATGACTGAGCACTGAAGAAGTGGAAGATGACTTCTCTGAGTTCCTAATGACATTCCCATTCTGACTGGGTGCTCAAGGACAGTAATGCTTCTGTCAAACAGAGTAAAATGATATTACAGCTGGCTAGCCTGCTGAAGCTTCTCTTGCTGGAAAAGACTTGGGAAAGGTTTTCCAAAAACCTAATCTGGAGCCTAGAGTATTTCTTAGGATTGCAGACCATCTGGATCTATGGGAACTTCTGGGGAAAGTGTGCAATAAGTTGAAAGCCTCTCACACTGCTGTGGGAAACTTCATCATACACAGCATGTATATGTGACATCCTCGACTCCATTTGGAAAACTTATGGACAGTCTTTGCAATGATTTGCATTCATTTTACCTCTCAAGGAAGGATGATGCTGAGTGGGCCTCTCATGTGCATTAAAGTGACCAAAACAAGTGAGCAAAACATAACAATGGGTAAGGAGTGGTCTGGAAAATAATAGAATGCCTTCATTAAACGAATGGAGTGTTGTTTCACCTAGAGCACACTGTTCATCCCTATTCAAAAGGGATAAAAGCAATAGGCAAGATATGAAAAAAAGATTTGAAGCCTTAAAAAGAAAATCATTAGTAGAAAACAACTGGTGTTAGTTCTGCTGCTTAAATTAAAATTGTTTACTTTGGAGAGGGCAAAGTAAATCAGGTTCTCCTGTTAATCTTTTCATAATTGATTGTGGTCTTGTTTTTTATATTAAATTAAAAGGCAATCCATTGAAAACTGATGGAGAAAGTATGTTTTTATACAGTGCTTATTTGGAACAAATGTGACATGGTCCTATTGAGGACTTAGTGGATTCAGAAAACATGAAATGTAAGAACATCCTCTGAATTAGAATGGATAGAAATTTAGAAGGGATATAAAGCTTAGTAGGAACTGAGCATGATTAGGAGGAGAGTTCTGTGATATAGATGTTTCCTTTAAATAGTTAGCACTAAGAATAAAGGAGACTGATCTGGTCTGATCTCCTGTACTGGGTCTTGTTTTCCTAAATAACCCAAGCTTTGCACGGTTTCTCACCTTGCTAGAATTCCATGAAATGGTAAAAGCCTGATTTATGGCACATTCTTTCCACTCCTTCCTCACTGTCACCTCTAATGGTTAAGCCTCTGGCAAAGGCTAACTAAGAGCTGGAGTTAGATATAAATAGAGATTAATAATAAATCGGGATAGAAGAAAGTAAAATGCCGGTGTGAAATTGACAGGGAGCAGAGTTCTGCAGTCTCTGGATTACCTCTGCCTGCAGCTCTTCTGGCAGCTGCTTGGAAGTAAATGGAAACCTGCCTACTGCCACTAATCAGGCACAAAAGTGACAGCTGGGGGCACCAGTCAAACTTTTTAAAAATACAGATGCTTTGCTTTTCCTTAGGCCATTTCCAGAAAGGTCTGAGAGCATTTGTAGACATGAATGCAGTAAGTTTTTAGATGCTTATGTGAAATATGTTGTTAGTTTACAGTTATTTTACAACCAGAAAAGACAAGGTACCAAAATATTCATAATAAAGAATGTTTGTCTGAGCTGTGCCGCTCGTGACAGCACTAATGTCTGTCTCTGATCCTTTGACAATGAAAGCTGGAATTGTTTTCTCAAGGTCAGGTGCAGTCTTAGGGTAACCAGGTCTGGGCTCCCTCAGGTTCCTAAGGAACTGCAGAGCAGAACAAGCAAGCTGTAGTGCTGTTTCCTCTTTCACCTTGTGGCATCTTTAGAGCAGCCAAATCCCTGACTGCAGCTCACCTGTCTGCATGTTTTAAAGTAGCCAGAATAAGTTATTTGTTTAGATCTCAGCAGGTAACCACAATTGGGTATATTTTTTCCTTCTTAGGACAAGGTGATGTGTAGTGGAGTTGTGCATGTTGATGATACTACATTTATCTTTGCAGGAAGTTCCAGCTTCTTGTCAGAACCAAGAGTATGTGAGCAGCTGGAGTTAGTTACGTTGCTTTTCCACCTTACCTGTTTCAGCTGTCCAAAAATGGTTCACTTTCACCTTTAGGGACAGACACCAGACAACTTTTGTGTCACACTTCCTTTATGTGTTTTACCTTTCTCTGCACACACACACCCTTTCCATGCCCTGTGACCCTTTTGTCTCTCTTGCCTCTGTCTCCCTATACCTCATTCTCTGTTCCTTCAGCTCCCTTTCTCACAATTGCTATCCCTCTTTCCCCATTTTCCCCATCTGTCTGACCCCTCAAGAAGTATCACAAGAAGTCACAAAGACTCCTCTTTGTGCTTCATGCTTTGCTCTCTGGTTTCCCCTTTTCTCCTGTTTTCCTCTCTGTTTGTCTCTGCCATGCATCTTCTCTCTTGCTGTACCACTGAAAATCTGTTTCTGTTTTCTTTCATCTCTGGTTCTGTCTGTCTGGTTTCTATTACATGCACACACATTTCACATCAAAATTTTGTTACCCAGTCTCTTTAAATTCAAGCTACTCAATGTCTCTGTGTTATTTCCCAGGCTGAAATATGTGCCCAGGTGCTGTGTTCCAGAGGTGTCTTGTGAAGGGTACATGTGAGATGAGTTGGACCTCCCATGCACACGCAGTTGAAATGTAGAGCAAATAAACCATGAGCCCTCCCTGTTCCTAAGGGGCTTGGCAGAGCTTTCTGGGTGATCTATGACCACTTTGATGACTGGGGGAATAGTAAGAATGAATACAAGTATGTCCTTAACATGGAAAATTTAGCAAGGATGCCACTGGCTTTTTAAGCATGTGAAACCTATCCAGTAATGGGATTTTGGGTGGAATCTTAATACAAATTTTCATTATTGATTATATTTGCAGAGGCAGCTACAATATGCTCCATTTGTCACAAATGAGAGATGAACTGCTGTGTCGTAGCCTGCAGTCAGTATCAGTCAGCTATGGTGAAGTCAGAGTTTGGGTTCTCATTTCTCAGTGGATAACAAGGTGACAGTTTTCACTGATTGAAAACCTGATTCTGCTTTTCAGCAAAGGGAGCCTAATCCTTCTATTTCTTTTGTTAGTCGGCTCCTCTTGTTAGAAGTCATGTTTCTGTCTCACTTTCCTTATGAGAATGCTGTTTACTTTGATTCCTTTGTAGGGTTGAGCAAGTGTGTGGCTTAGTGCACTAGTTTGCTTCGACCAAAAGCCATTATCATTATTGATGAACCTGTCACTGGCTGGCAAGTTACCAGGAAGTGTGCAGAAGTAAAGATTTCCTTAGGGTGTGCTTTGCTGCAGCACTCTGTGTTAGGTCCTCAGACACACAGGGATTTTAGGAAAAAAACATCACATAGTTATCAGGTGGAAGAGGGGAAGAAAAATAAAATCAGTTCCAGTCTTTAATTTCAGGTATCAATGGCAAAGCTCTCCCACCTAGTGAGGGCCTGTGACATGTAGCCAAAAGTATTATTATTTATTATTCACTGGTGCTACTGTTTTTATTCTGACATCTGCTCAATAAGTGTGGAAAATATATTTCTTTATGGTACATGAGGACAAAAAGGAGAAATTAAGAGGAGTCTCTGACACTAACAGCAGCCATGTGAACAGCATAAGGGATTTCCAGTTGTGCAGGCAAAGCTGCAATGAACAACAATATAAAGGACCTGACTCTAAATGGGTCTTGAAATGAGATGTAGCTCCCTAACAATGAGAGTGATGATGACTGAAACAGTTAATGGAAAAAAAAGATTTGTCAATGTTTAGGGTTTTCCAGGGTAACATTAGTTGCTTTGGGAAAGGTGTGCTTTAGCATAGCTTTGAGGACAAGTCCTTGGTATACTTGTAAGGAAGGTGGTTTAGATGTTCAGAGCTCTCTATGGCAGCAAAGAGACTGTGAAATCTAACTTTGGCAGTTCAGCTGCTTAGCCAACACCTGCTGCAAATACCATTAAATACAGAAATGTATTTTCTTTTTCCTGCTTTGTCATTGTATCACCAAGATACAGATGCTTGTGTCCCTTGGCCTTATCAGTGCACAGAAATGCTGGTTCCATACCTACTGAAATTGCACAGGGAAGTTTGTTCTTGTTGCACCACCACAGACTTCTCTCAAAAAGATGTTGAACACAAGACAAGCTCATAAATACAGACACATGCTCTTTCTTGACTAGATCAAAATGAAGTCTGGACTGTATGAGCAAACCAACTTAAAATTCAGTCATATTTTTGAATAGGAGGAACATGAAGTGAAATAGTGGGTGATTAACCCATGCACACCCATGTTCCCTTTGACCTGGAAGTTAATGTTTACACAGTGGAAATGCCCTGCTGGCTTTGGGTTAAAGATTGTTTAAAGGACAAGGATGCCCAGTAGCTGTGAAAACGACTATGCTCAGAGCTTTTATCTTTCTGTCTGATACCATCTGCTCTTCCTGAGGATCGTTCTGCTGTGGTTACGTGGGTTTGATGGATTGTCCTACCCTTGCTGAATAAAAGGTCAGATCGCAAATTCAGTGGCTGTCCAAAATTAGCACCAGAGTGGGGAGGGACAGAACAAAGCAGTGTGAATAAATTTTCTGCTGACTTCTAAGAGTGGTGGTTCTAGCTTGCAGGCAGAAGCATCACAGCAACGTGAGCAGGTGTCTTCTCCAGCTTCTATTCATGCAGCATCTGCTTTTTGGCAGCAAGGAGTATGTGCTTTCTGCTGCAGACAACTTTTATGATCTTTCCTGAGCAAATAAATGATAATAATTAACCTGTCTGGCATCTCCGGCTAAACAGTCACAGAAAAATGACAAGGACATATTTCATAAGAGCCATTCTACAGGAAAGTACACGTGTATTAAAAAAAGCCTTTTTTAACACAATGCTGTTGGCAGTGATAAAAAAAATAAATAAAAACATTATTCCTTTATTTTGCTATATTGTGATGAGAGGTTCAAAAAAGAGACTAAATCTCTTGGTACTAAGTAGTACACTATCAGATAAACAAAGACAGCTGCTCTAAAGAGCTCCTGTCCCATTTAGCAGTGTGTGAAGGGTTAACAAGCAAAGAACAGATGCAAGTTGAGGAAGTTTGGATCACAGACACAGGAGAGAATGAGGATATTTATTAATATGTACATCACAGATGCATTTTAGGTGATGAAGATAGGAGGAGGAGCTGGTCCTTTTAGAAACAGGGTGCATCACTGTGAAACAGTGCAACCGGTTTTTGCAACAGGAGGGGCACAAATGCATCAGAAAGGATCTGCCTCTGTCACCTGTGATGTCTTCTGCAGAGGATAGAAGAGCATGACTTTTGGGACCGGACAATGCCTTGCCGCAGGAAGCAGTGGCGAGCTGTGATCCAACAATAGCTCACACCATGGCCCCACTACCTGAATCAGTGGGAAACAAAATGCCTTTTAATGCATATGCTGTGAATTCAAATTTTTTTAGTCTCCTTTTTCTATTGGATCAAATACAAGCTGCTTCAACTTCTCATTGAAAGGAAATCTTTTCCATTCTCCTCCTCATCCTTCATTCATCACCAGGATGTTGAACACTACCTGCTAAGCAATCCCCTTGGTATTTTCATGCTACCTCTCTGAAGTAGATAGGCTCTTTGAACACCTCTTCAGCTGCCTCTGAGAACAGTTCACAAGTAATAAGATGCTGGTTTGCAGGTACCATCCAGTTGTACATGCATCATGTAGCAAATACAGTGGTATTGATGTCTTCTGCTTTTTAACATATTTCTTTTGGGTCTTGTTATGTCTTTCAGCTGGAATCTCCATGGAGTAAAGGCAGGCACTGGGTAATGTCATGAATCCAGAAAGGTAGCTGAGAAAACACTGAATGCTTTTAATGCTCATTCTTCCAGACTTAATTCATTGTGTTTATGCCCTGTGTTTATGTAAAACAATTCATCGTGTTTCTGTGTTTCATATTTATATGATAATGAATACAGTTGCTAAAATATTAATGAAGTACATCTGTACTTCATGTTACATAAGATTTATAGTCAAGATTTATACTGCAACTAACTAAAGGGGTTGTTTAGGGTAAATCACAGAATCACTGAGCCTGGAAGTAGCCTTTGGAGATACCTCATCCAATCCCCTGCTCAAGCAGGGCCAGCTTGACCACATCCACATGGGTTTTTAATGTTTTCACTGGGGGAGAATGCACAACCTCTCTGCAATCTATTCCAGTGTTTGACCATCACTTAATATTCACATTTATGGGTAAGAATGGAAGTCCAGAGAGCTACAGGCCAGTCAGCCTCATCTCCATCCTTGAAAAGAGATGCTTCAAGGCAATTAATCCTGGAAAACATTTTCACACACATGAAGAAAATGAAGATGATTTGGAGTGATCAGCATGGATTTATGATTTCCCTCTTGAATGGTATGGACTAGAGCAGAAACACAATGTGTGTTAAGATTTTTTTTCTATATTTCATATAATTTGGAGATTAATAAATTAAGTGGCATTTCAACAGAATCTTAATAATATATGGAATGGAATGGAATGGAATGGCAAGATTAGGCAGCCTAATCAGCTTTAAAACATTACATGGCCATCAAGTGAGTAAAGTGACAATACCTTGTCTGTTTTTAGGAAGCAAGAACAACCAGGAAATCAGCC